TGGTCTTTTAAATTTAGATACTAAAGATTTTAAAAATTTTGGTATCATTGGAGATGACAAGAATCGACTTAAGCGTAAACTTAAAGATCTTAAAGCCCAAGCAGAAAAGGAAAAACGTCACATTGAAAAAGAGCGAAAAGAAAAAGAACGGTTACAGAGAAAAGCTGAAAAACTAGCTGAAAAAGCTAGTAAACGTAAATAACTTAAACTTAAAGTTTTTTTTGTCTTTGACTTCTAGTCTTTAGTATAAGTGTTGAGTTTTTTCTAAGGAAAAATATTCACAATTATTGGATGTGACATTTTGTATAATATTTAATGTACAGCAATGATATATTTTCCCTCTTAAGATATCTTTATATTCCTGATACGTCTGAAGCCTACTTATTAACAACTTTTCATGAGTAKAATCAAATATATTGCTCATTATATTTAAGTACTTAATTTATTTGCAGTATTAAATAGAATCATGTATACTATTTATTTATTTTATATTCGTTTGACAGAATATTTAACAATTCTTTTTTGTAGTTCAACATTTTATACTATAGATGATACTAATATACTAGGCTTTATAAGTTTTTGTTCTATTMAAAAATAAGTATTACTTTATGTTTGTCTAATTAACTATACTACACATTTATTTTCTTATTATCAGTGAGTAAAAATTAATTTTTAGATGACATTTTTACCTAAATTAGGTATCCTGATTTTCTAGTCGCTCTATCTACTTAACTTATGTTGGAAAAATACTTTTCCATCTAAAATTCATAGTATAATTTTATTTATATATATATATATACCACTAATGTGATCTAAAAATTATAATCCATAGTTATTGACTGCAAATTTGTTAACTAAACATATATGCARTCAACTTTGTCTTATATTAAAATGTTTTGAAGATAGTACCTATATTCATAAATAATTAAAATTGATTCAATATTACAAATATTCATTTCAAAATAATATTAAATTTAAAAAAATAATTATTCTTTGCATTCCTCCAACGTTCATACAGAAATATCTAACACATATTTATAGTAATTATTCAATTATAGGTAAATTAGATAGAATTCAATATTAATCTTAAGAGGACGTCTGACCCTCATGTGTTGTCTCCATCTTACACRCGTACGACCTAGCAAAYTATCGTTTGCTGGTTTCAATAGGGTATTGTCAGTTTTGATATTAGAGTGAATCCACCTATTATCAAACTTTTAGGTAGCAACATTATCTGTGTTATCTCTTTAGTTTTTTACSATATTTTAATTTTTAAGTGAGTTATAAATATTTTAAAATATTCATAATTTACGTACCCATAACTCACTTAAAAATTAAAATATCGTAAAAAACCAACGAGAGAACACAGATAATGTTGCTACCTAAAAGTTTGATGATAGGTGGATTCACTCTTAATACCAAAACTGACAATACCCTATTGAAACTAGCGAACGAACATTTCCTATGTCGTACGTGTGTAAGACGGAGACAACACATGAGGGTGCGACGTTCTCTTAATGTATTAGGTTATAAATGTTATAAGTATCTACATTTTTTGATAAATTAATTTTATGATCATCGTATAATTATTGTTTATTAATACCATAACATTATTGAGTAATTTGTTATATTTAAGACACTTTTTTATGTAACTTGTTTTTAGTTTTTTTTTTAATTTTGTATTTTAACATTTTTCTTAAATTAAAATGTAAGATCAATGCATACCCTTACAATCAATGAAGTATATGTTTAAGCATGTTTAAAAAAAAAAAAAAAAAATGGTGTTATTTAAATTAATCTGTCTTAATTTGTTATACAATTTTAGCAGGGATCAAATCCACCTATTTTAAAGACAATAAATTTTGATAACAAAATAAACTCCACTAGWACTAAATCAGTATAAATTTCAAATTATTAAGAGGAATAAAATTTAAAATGTTCACTTAGAAATGTACAAACACAATAAATTTAAACTAAATTTGACAATCACCATTATCAGAACAGTCAATCATATATGTATATATATTATATATACATTTTTTATTAAGAGGATGCCACACCTGCATGTGTTGTCTCTGTATAACTTTTTTAATTATTATTTCTTAATACTGAAAATAAAAACTTAAAAATTGATAAAAAATGTTTAGATAAATTCAAAATAGCCTATTTATGAAGCTGATCGCTGATGATAAGCATAATTTTGGTGTAAAAGATTTATCTTAGTCAATTAGCTTATTATTTTTATATTTTAAGATTCAATATTTTTTGGTTAAATTAATTTGGATCGTAATAACCAATAGGCTCGGATTTTATGACATTTGCTAATTTTATTATTATAGGATAGAGATAAAAATAGCAGAGTGAGCTATAAATTTGTATTATGCACCAGGGATTCCAAATATGAAATTTTATAAAGCCATTTTTTGCATATTTGAAGTATTTTAGGTTTTTAGTGCTATTTTTCAAGTTTTGGTGCTATTTTTTGCTATTTTTTGCTAATTTATATACTATAACGTTTTATTTTGTATTTTCATAAATCTAGTTTATATTATGTGATATGAAAATTATGAAGATGTATTTTTATTTTTTTTTGAATACATAAAATAAAAACACACATTTTACCCATATCACACCCATTTTATAAACGTACCTATTAATTATTAAATAATCTTTAGTTAATAAAATATTTTTTTTTAATTTTGAGCAGAATACATTTTTTTTTTTTGCTATTTTTCATGTTTTTAGGACATATTATAGTGCTTATTTAAAAAATTTTAGGTCATATTATAGCGTATATTTCATTTATTTTCAGTGCTATAAAATCCGAGCCCTGGTAATAACTTTTTTTTAAATATGATTATCAAGAATTTGCTGACA